ACTAAGGTACACTCGCACCAGCAAAGGTAGTAAAATTAATCAGAAGCTGGGGTGAGGTAGCATCTAAGTATATTGGTTTCCTATGGCTTCTGTAACAAAATGCTACAAGTTGAGTGACTTAAAAAGCACAGTATTGTCTGACAGTCCTGGAGGCTAGAAGGCCAAGATCAAGCAGGGTGGTTCCTCTGGAGGGCTGTGAGGGAGAATCTCTCCCATGCCTCTCTCCTAGCTTTGCAGGGTCTTCCTTCTGTGTGTGTTCACCTGTGTCTTAACTTTCCCCTTTAATAAGGACATCAGTCATATTGGATTAGGGCCCACCCTAGTAACCTGGCCATCTTGTTTCCAAAATTTGAATAGGGACAGCATTGAATCTTGAGATCCCTTTTGATAGTGTAGGGCTTTTGATAATATTAATTCTAATCCACAAAAGAAAGCCTTTCATTTATTTGTGTGTTTTTCAATTTCTTTTACCAGTGTTTCATAGTTTTCAGTGTACAGATCTGTCATCTACTTGGTTAAATTTATTACCGAGTGTTTTTAATGCTATTGTAAATGAGGTTGTTGTCTTCATTTCACGTTTGAATAGTTCAATGTTAGTGTATACAAACAGAATTTATTTTTGTAACCTCAAACTTTACTGAGATTATCAATTTCAATAATTTGGGGGAAAAGTTTTTAGGATTTTCTAAATCCTAAAGATCATGGCAACAACAAGCAGAGACAATTTCACTTCCTTCTGTTTGTTTTCCTTACCTAATTATTCTTGCTAGCACTTGCGGAACTGTGTTGAACAGAATTGGTAACAGTGAGCATCCTTGTCTTGTTCTTGGTCATAAAGGAAAAGCGTTCCACCTTTCACCATTGGTTATGATATTAGCTGTGGACCATAGCAGTGCTGAATCTTAATGGGAAAGTGGAATAATTTATTTGAAGGATAGAAATCTACTGGATTGATTCTAATCTATGAAAGATTGGTAGTACTATATTTTTGTGTCATTATCATATAGTGTTGTGTGTAGCCAGAAGTAATTTTTCATTACAAGGGCCAGGCACAATGACCCAGAAGTTGCTCTGGGTCAGTGAGTAAGTGAACCTAGAACATTACACTAATGTTTTCCTTTTTTTTTTAGTAAAAAATGCTGTAATCCTAGCATTCTGGGAGGCCAAGGCAGGCGGATTGCTTGAGCTCAGGAGTTCAAGACCAGCCTGAGCAAGAGTGAGAACCTGTCTCTACAAAATAGCCGGGAATTGTGGCAGACACCTGTAGTCCCTGCTACAGGGAAGAGGGTAGAGGGGGCTGAGGCAAGAGCATCACTCGAGCCCAAGAGATTGCTGTGAACTATGATGCCGTAGCACTCTACCCAGGGCAACAAAGTGAGACTCTGTCTTAAAAATAACAATAAAATAATAAAAATAAAATATAGAGCTAGAAACAACCCTACATGTTTTTCCATAGGTGAATAAACAAACTAATAAAATAAATAAATTAATATGAGTACAATGAAAAGAGTATTCCACAGTTGGAGGAAACAAATAATTGATTCACATAACAAGATGGATGAATCTTAAATGTATTTTACCAAGTGAAAAAAAAACATTCATATGCCTTACTGGAAAATGCGAAACTACAGGGATAAGAGACAGCTACCAGGGATTGGTTGGGGAGAGGCATTGACTTAAAGAGCTACACGAGGGAAGTTTGGAGTTGATAGGACTTTTCTATGTGGTGGATACGTGACTCTGTGCATTATCTAAATCCATAAAACTATCACAAGAAGTGCATTTTTCAAAACATGTATTTTTAAGCATTAGGATATGGGAAATGCAAGATGGCATTCAGACTATAACAAAGGAATGTTTATTTCCACGTAATTATTGTGAGGAGAGTAAAGAAGGAGCTGACCCAATCACTTTGGAAAACAGTATTTTGACAGAAGAACTATATTTTGTGTAAGACAGAAGAACTGTACACAAACACTATGCTTTAATAGATTGCTGTCTCACAGAGGCATGGGCTAGCAATTCTGAAGCTACTTTATATGCTTGCTGTGGTTAAACTAATAAATATCTTGTAGATAATGAGAGACAGGTTTCTCAGTGTTGAAGAACTACGAGTTAGCAAAGGGGGAAGGCTGGAATGAATCTTATGCTGGCCAAGTTTGGAGCTATCAGTATGAACTCAACAGGGATGGTTGGGGGTATACACCAATAAATATAGGTGACTATACACGGATATACTTATATATACATCCTTGTGTCACTTGACAGTGATGCATCCTAATAAATGTGTCAGTAGAAGATATTTGTATAAACATAGAGTGCTCTTACACATACCTAGATGAGATAGCCTACAATGCACTGTGGGAGGGAAGGTGGGTGGAATGCTTGAACTCAGAGGCTATCTTGTCTAACCTCTTGCTTCTAGACCGCAAACCTGTGCAGAGTGTTAATATACTGAGTATGTAGGCAGTTGTAACACAATGGCAAGTATTTGTGTGTCAAGACATATCTAAATATAGAAAAAGTACAATAAAAATGTGGTATAAAAGATAAAAATGGTGCCACTTGTTTAGGGCACTTACCAGAAATGGAGTTTGCAGAATGAGAAGTTGCTGTGGGTCAGTGAGTGAGTGGTAAGTGAATGTGAAGGCCTAGGACATTACACTAATTTTTTCTTTTTTTTTTTTTTTTTTTAGTTTCACTTCAGTTATAAATTAGCCTTAGCTTGCTGTAACTTCCTTAGTTTACACACTTTTTAAATTTTTAAAACTTTTTGACTCTTTTGTAATAACATTTAGCTTAAAGCACACATTATACAAATGTACAAAAATAGTGTCCTTTTTTATATCCTTATGCTTTAAGCTCTTTTCTATTTTTAAGATTTATTTTTTTTACTTTCTAAACTTTGTGGTTAAAAACGAAGACACAAATACACACACATTAGCCTAGGCCCCCACAGGGTCAGGATCATCAATGTCACTGTCTTCCACCCCCACATCTTGTCCCACTAGAAGATCTTCAGGGGCAGTAACATGCATGGAGCTGTCATCTCCTATGATAACACTGCCTTCTTCAGGGATGACTCATGAACGAACTGGCTGAGCCTGGTTTATAGTTAACCATTTTGTTTTTTATAAGTAGAAAGAGTACACTCTAAAATAGCAATGAGAAACACAGTAAATACTAGATAATAGGAATTTGTCAGCTCCCTTATAATCTTATGGGGCCATAGTTGTACACTATATGTTGTTGTCATTGACCTTGGCCATAATTGTATTTCCCTACCTCTGTCTATTGAGAGCACTTAGAAGTGATTAACACATCTAGTGTTTACATTTGGTTTCTAGATGCCGTTCTCCAGTAAAAAGAACCAGTACTCCTTAGAGAAGTACTGATTTCAGGACTGAGACAAAGAAAATTCAAAATGAGCTTGTATTATCTTATAATACCTAAAATTAAGTCATATTCATAGATGCATACCTGATTTAACTCCCAAAGGCCAAAGCTAGAAAAATGTTCACAATAAATTAACCATGGTATTTTATTATAACCAAAGAATGAAAGAAATATTCATGTGTCCATATTTACAGAAGAATTTCAATTAAGGAATATAGAATAAATGAGGGAACCATTAAATCACAGTAATAATTGTTGCACCACCCACTAATGAATTTTAAAGTTAGTGGGCACAATTTAAAGGAAAATTTGCATAGTTACAAAATATGTACCCCCCCAACATTTATTGACACAAAGTTAAAAGGTAACTTTACAGTATAGAAACTGTCAGACAGAAGGGGGCATCACCTATGTGCTTTCCTTCCACAAAAATGCATAACCTTGACCTAATCATGAGAAAACATCAGACAAACCTAAACTGAGGGTATTCTACAAAGTAACTGACCAGTGCTCTTCAAAGTGTCAAGGTCACAAAAGAGAAGGGAAGACTGAGGACTGTTATGGCCTGGAAGAGACTAAAGAGATGCACTGTAGGACAATACATAGGATCCTAGAATAGGAAAAAAAAAATAATGAAAGAAACCTGACAAAATCTCAGTAAAGTCTGAAGTTTAACTCATGGTATTGCACTAATGTTAATTCTTTAGTTCTGAAAATTCTATGGTTGTAGAAGATGCTGATATTAGGGGAGGCTGGGGATATGGGAACTTTGTGCACTAACTTGCAAGCCTGAAATTTTTTAAAAATAAAAGTAGATGTAGAACCTCTGTAAGTTGATCACTCAAGGGACCATAACAAACTGGTCAGTATTCCTAGGTGGTCGACATAAGGAACTAGGCCAACTGTGCTGATATGTACATGTGGTGCATGTCCAGTCTGTGAAAACTGGTTCAACTTAAAGAGGTGGTCACTGTAGGGAGGTAGTTAACTTTGGAGGTACTACTGCACTGATATGTAAGAGTACAGTTTCATCTTCACATATGTCATAATTACTTAGAAAATACCAAAAGTGGGGGGAAAGGCTATTTTTCTCTGGTCAAATCAAATACTTCTGATAACTACTCATTTTGTGATTAGTTTAAAATATATTTTAATGGTAGTTATTTTGTTTGAAGTTTTTATAAAAAGATTGAATAATTAAAGTTTAAAAAATAATAAACTCAAAAAATAATAATAATAATAAACTCACCCAGGTGTGGCAGCTCACGCCTATAATTCTAGCACTCTAGGAGGCCAAAGTAGTTCAAAATGTCTTGAACTCAGACCAGCCTAAGCAAGAGTGAGACCCTATCTCGACTAAGAATAACTAGCCAGGTGTTGTAGTGGTCACCCGTAGAGGATACGAATATCATTCTTAAGACTGTCATGATCATTAATATCTGGTATACAGAAGGTATCTATTAAATGGTGACTGCTATTAATCATAGTGATTATTATGAAAAGTCAGAGACCATTAGAATACAAGGTAATTCTTTACACTAAATAGCTTTTTATTGAATATTATGGTAGATGTTTAGCTCAGTCTTTGTTTCTCTCCAATTTAGAGATGACGAAGAGAAAAAAAAATCTCCCTCAGAAGGTACAGAGGAGAAGGCTAATGGAACACATCCTAAGACCATCAGTCGAATTGGGAGTACTACCAACCCGTTTTTGGACATCCCTCATGACCCAAATGCTGCTGTGTACAAAAGTGGCTTCTTGGCTCGGAAAATCCATGCAGATATGGATGGAAAGAAGAGTAAGCATAATTTGTTGTCATTTTCTGTTTCATTTATGCCTCGAGCTCAAAGTTTAAAGTGAATTTACCTGAAATAAAGTCAAAGATGAAGAAAAATCATATGGTTATCTGGAGAAGTATCCATGAAGTTTGATAAAACCTCTAACTTTAAATCAGAAATCCAGTGTGGCACCTCCTCTAAAATAGGTAGAATTATAGAATTTTAGAAATAGAAAACTTTTTGGCTCGGTGCCTGTAGCTCAAGTGGCTAAGGCGCCAGCCACATACACCTAAGGTGTTGGGTTCAAATCCAGCGTGGGCCTGCCAAAAACAACAATGACGGCTGCAACCAAAAAAGAGCCAGGCGTTGTGGTGGGTACCTGTGGTCCCAGCTACTTGGGAGGCTGAGTCAGGAGACTCGCTTGAGCCCAGGAGTTGGAGGTTGCTGTGAGCTGTGATGCCATAGCACTCTACCCAGGGGGACAGCTTGAGGATCTGTCCCAAAAAAAAAGAAATAGAAAACTTTTTATATTCCCCTCTCAAAAGATAACATTGGCTACCTATTATGCTGGGTACCAAAAATATAACAGTCGGTAGGGAGGGTGAACAAGGATAATCTCCTGTCTTCATGGAGATTGTATTTCTGGTGGTTGAGGGAAAAGTTAAATCTTTACATACAGAGAAAAATCAGTGCTTGTGAGGTCTCAGATAGATACAAAAGGGGGAAGAATGAAGAAGTAAGATTCAAAGTACAAGTGGAATGATTGGCCTTTGATAAGATAGATAGTTGAGTTGTGGGAGAACATGGTATAGTTAGTAATGGCACATTGAAGGAGTCCCACCAATGACTTATGATTTCTCTGTGATGTATGAGACATATTCTGATAGTCAATGGTGTGTGAAGTTTGAGAGGAACGGAGTATGTTTATGTGGTTAGAATAATCTTTGCATAGAGTGGAACAGCAATTTGATATAGCTGAACAGGGTGGGATAAGCTGACACCTATGATCAAAATTAGTAGGCTATGTCTCTATGGGGTCCCTGCCCACCTATAAAAACAATCATGGAGAGAAGGACTGGATAGACCACTGTTTCCATCTGTGCTGGGCTCTTCTTCCTAATATGTTACATTCTTGATTTTACTGCCATCAAGAGAAACATTGCAGTGGGTGGGGCTTTAACACTGACGTAAAATGCTGAGCGAGTTTCTTGATGTTTTCAAGTTCATTAAGAGTACCTCCAATATGGCCTAAAGAAGTCAAAAGGTTGGACACCCTGGCACATCATATTGTTTCATTTCCAGGTGCTTGTGTAGTTTATAATGTTCCTTTTTTTTTTGAAACGGTCTTAATCTGTTGCCCAAGCTAGAGTGCAACAAACTCCTGGCCTTATTTAGATAATAGATTAATGTACCTGCCCCAACTTACATACAAATTCAACTAAAGAACAAACCCACAGAACCTATCTTGTTCGTAACCCAGGCACTGCCTGTATTATAAATAAGACCACTAGGGATATTCATATACAAGTTTTGCACGTACATGTGTGTTTTCATTTCTTTTCAGAAGTTACCTAGCATGAGATTGCTGGGTGATATGCTAAGTATATGTTTAACTTCATAAGAAACTTTCAAAGTTTGTTTACTTTGCATTTCTGTCAGCTATTTATATTATATCTTCTTGATGGATTGACCCTTTTTTCATTATGAAGTGATCTTTCTCACGCCTGGTTCCTGGTTACATTTCTTAATATAGCCACTCTAGCTTTCTTTTCAGTTTTTTCATGCCGTACAAAAATATTTTCTACCTTCATATTATTAATTCATGATTTTTGTCTTTAAAATTTTTTGTATTATACAGAATGTTGATGGGTCTTTTTTAAATGACAATCTCTGTCTTTTACTTAGAGTGTTTATACCATTTACATTTATAGTAGTTATTGATATGATTGACTTTAAATCTATTATCTTTCTGTTGTTTACTTATTCCATCTGGGTTTTTTTTCTCTTTTCCTTCATTAAGATCACTGATTTTCATGTGTGTGGTTCTGTTTTTATCTTCACTATTTGCTTATGGGTTGCACCTCTTTATTTAATTATTTTAGTGGTGTCTGTAGGGTTTATAGTGTTTATGTTTACCTTGTCATAATTGACCTTCATATAGTAACACTTTGTTAGTTTGAGACCCTAATAACAGGTTACTTCCCTTTCCCTCTTCCTTGCCTTTGTGCTTTTGTCATACATTTTCATTCTGTATATGTTGTAAAATTTACAGTGATTACTGTTTTAAAGTTATTTTGTTTGAATTCTTTCCTCTCTGTCATTTCTGGAACTGTTACACTGGTTAATTTCTGCTTTTCCTTTGCATTCCTAGTAATTTTTATTTGAATATCATTGTTCAATTTTCATTTTTGAGGTGCTGTTTTTATAGTTGTATTCATTTTTAAAATGTTAAATTTTGGCTAGGTACGGTGGTTCATGTTTATAATCCTAGCATTCTGGGAGGCCTAGGTGGGTGGATTGCCTGAGCTCAGGAGTTTGAGACCAGTCTGAACAAAGCGAGAGCCCATATCTACTAAAAATAGAAAAAAAAAAACTAGCTGGCCATTATGGAGGGTGCCTGTAGTCTCAGCTGTTTGGGAGGCTGAGGCAAGAGAATCACTGGAGCCCAAGAGTTTGAGTTGCTGTGAGCTGTGAACTCTACTGAGGGCCACAAAGTGAGACTGTAGCTCAAAAAAAAAAAAAAAAAAAATCCATATATATATGAGGAGGATGGAATGGGATAGTTAAGTTTGCTAAATCCTGTAAACAGAAAAACAACAGCATATTTACAACCTCTTATGACAGTATACAAGCACATTATTTAGGGATATGATGGCACTTAACTACAGGAAAAACAGAGTAAATGTCAAAATTAAGTTCTTATGGAATATGAGACTAGAGCAATTGGGGTAGAGTGAATCAAAGAGGCTAATTATGTGGACATGTGACTTTGATAATTTCCAAATGTCTTGATCACATTCTTATATAGATACTTTAATCTGTTTACCCCACTGAGATTTGTTTTTAATTTGAAATATTGATATAGTAATTGCTTCTTAAGGATGTGAGAAATGTAGATGGCTCATATTTTCAATTTCATGTTAAATACTTTGGCTGTAGGAAGTGCTGGGGAGCACCTTGCAAAGGTTGGGGGGGGGGTTCCCTCGCTTTAGAGAGGGATTTACACACTTGGCTGTCACCAAAAGTTTTGAAAATTTAGTCCCACATGTCAAATTGGAGAAAGTTGATGTTATTCTGAGTCATACCCACTGGAAATAGAGTTTATAATGGCAATGCAGGCAGGATTCTTTGCTATTGTATAACATTGGGAACAGCGACACTATAATTAAGTGATAATAAAAGTGAAATGGTTTTTTTTCCCCCAGTAAGACAGTTGTCTCCTCCTGTTAGAGAACAATTCCTTAAGTGGAGACAAAACAAAGTAGTTATTTTAAAACTAGGCTTGGGTTTCCAGGAGAGGGTAGAATGAAGTGGCATGACCTGTCTGTGCTAGGCTTAAGAGCAGCACAGTGAGGGCGGCTGTGTGAACTCTCAAGTCAGTCTGTCATATGGAAGTAGAGTTTTCGTGAAATTGTTGCCACCTGCCAGTTTCATCTGCACTGCCCAAGAGAGCCCATATCCAGAGATAGCAGGGTTCACAGCGGAGAATTTATTCCACATAGTGCTAAGCAGGGAAACAGGAGAAATTTCTCAAATCCACCTCTCCAGGAATTGGAGGGACAGAGTTTTTAAAGACAGTTCAGTGGGCAGAGGGCAGAGCTATCAGTATGGCCACGGTCTAGGTGGGTCAGTTACTGGAATGCAGGACCTTGGATGCAGGGTCTGGGTTGGTCATTCAATCCACTGGAATGTAGGAATGTAGGACATGGAAGAGACTTCAAAAGCTAACCCTTGGTTCCCAACAAGTGATGTTATTTACAGAGAAGAGTTAAGAATCTTTGTGGAGAAGAGTTAAGAATGTGTTATGCAATTCTACTATGAAATCAATATATAATCACCTACACATTCATATGAATGGTAAAACATAACTATAGTCCAGAAAGTAGAAGTGAAGAGGAGAGAGAGGGGAGGGGAGTGGGGAGGATGGAGGGTATTTGGGGGGAACCTCACCTAATGTGCATGATGCAATGGTACATTTTAAAACTATTAAGAAAAGAGTATAATTGTGATGAATGTGTTACTTAGTTTAATGTAAGCATTTCACATTATATATCAAATCAGTACACTGAACCCCATAAATACAACAGTGTACACAGTTATGATTCAATAAAATTAAAAAAAAAAAGAATGTGTTGTGACTACCAGCTGTGCCCTCTAGAGTAGCAATTGGAAGCAAACACAGTGACAGTGACTATTACCAAGCAAAGGAGGGGACAGTGGCTGATTATTATCATCGTTTTACCTAAGCCTATTCCTTCACAGCAGTTTGGGGGCCCCTACCCTAGTTTTCACCTTGTACCCCTTGATCAGTTTGTAAGGGCAGTTTCAGAATGCATCAGTTGTAGATGGAGGATGCCTCTGCACAATTCAGCATTTAGACTAAAAGAAGTTGTTTTTAGGTCTTTACATTTCCTTTGGATGACTAGTGTCTTTAAAATCTCCCCTTTCCTGCAGGAAAGTTAGTTCAAAGAGGACCCCTAGCAATCTCCCCAGAAGTGGTGCTTTTGCCAAGAAATAGCGAACTATAAACTGGCGATCTTGTAAGCACCAAAAGATCTGAAAGAGGAATGCACAGTTTTCACTGCATCTGATATTTAGAGATTATCCTATTTTTACTGTTGATTCATTCTGTTTACCTTTTAGGTTTACTTAACACTTAAGAGAAAGAAGAAGAAAATTCTTGTCTCTGTTGTGGTCATTTATTGCAGTATATAGAATTCTCCAATAATCTCATGAAAACTGGAAATTACAAATAATGTGATCTTGTTTCCTAAAGGTATCAATACAGGATAAAAATGCA